GGGGGTTTGGGGCCAGTCTTGGGGGGTTTGGGGCCAGTCTTGGAGGGTTTGGGGCCAGTTCTAGGGGGTTTGGGGCCAGTCTTGGGGGGTTTGGGGCCGCCGTAGCCAAATGGCGGCTCCACGTGACAGCGGCCATTTCGGGCTGGGGACCGAGGGACACGCGTGTGTCACACATGTCACAGGTGCCAGGGGCTTCTGTTTTGGGGAGTCCTCCTCGTTAGCACTAACGACACCTTTGGGACAAATTCCACCAATTTTGGGGCATAGCTCATGGTCCATTTGGGACCTTCACAAACCCACTCAAAATCCCCCTTTTTTTTTCACCATTTAACCCCATTTTCCCCCACTTTTCCCGCCCGGGTTCAACCAAAATATCACATTTTGTACCCGTAAACCCCACACGCCTCCACTCTGCGGCAAATCAGTCCCGATTAACTTCATTTTCTTAAGGTGCTTTGTAGAAATTTAAAGATGTTTTAAGGGAGAACCGGTGAGAGTTTTGTGCTGTGAGAGGGGTCGGTGTTACCAGGGCTTAACGAATACGGAGAAACTGCTCGGAAACCAAATATTTACAAACTAAAAAAGGAAAAAAGTATAAATATTTGATGGGATAAAGAAATGTTTCGGAATAAATGTTTCCTGAGGGAAATCGTGAAGGACGCGCTCCCTCCCCGCCTCCCGAGGCTGCTCCTGTGGGGAGGCGCCATTTTGGGGGGGGGGGGGTTATTAGCGAGTTACGGCTGAATAAAAGAAGATTTTTCTGAGGGAAGTAAGACATTTCTGAGGTGAAAGTTGACATTTCTGAGGTAAAATGGGGACCTTCCTGAGGGAAGTAAGTTTTTAATGCAAATCGGTCATTTCTTAGGGAAGACATTGATGAGGGAAATAAGACATTTTCCAGGCAAATAAGACACTTCCGAAGCAAATCGGACACTTCCTGAGGGAAATCGAACATTTTTGAGACAAAACAGACGTCTCAGAGGGAAATGAGACATCGGTCAAGTAAAATCAGACGTTCCTGAGGGACCCCGGACATTTGGGTCAGGGAAATGGGCCATTTCTGAGGCAAATGAGATTTTCCTGAAGCAACTCGGTTTTTTCTGAGGTAAAACCAAGGACAAAAGGTTGCGTTTTTTAACCGTTCAGTCTCTCGGTAGGCGGCGAGGGTGACTCGGCGCTTTGCCGGCCCAATGCGGGGCGGACGCAGCGATGGCGCCGCGCTCCCGCCCCCGGCGCCGCCCCCGCGGCGACTGCGGCAAAGCGAAGGGAGGGGCGGGGTCTCCGCGTGGCCCCGCCCACTTACGCATCACAACCCCTCCGGATCCCTCCGCGCGTGGATCCCTCCGCCAGCCACGTGACCGGAGCGCTTCACTGCCGGATCCCTCCGCGGATCCCTCCGCGGCCGCTCCCGCCTCCAAATTTCTTTTTTTTTTTTTTTTTTTTTTTTTCGCCTGTAAATGAGCGTGGGGGAGGGGTAGGATAAAAGTCGGAGTTGTGGGGGAGGGGGAGCCAGCGGGGGGAGGGGGTCTGGGCCCATTTAGCGGCACTTGGAGGGGGCTCCGCGGAGGAGGGGAGGCGGTGAAGCCTCCCCCTGCATGCGTCCTTTTCCGTGAGGTAATTTTTGTGTGAAAAGTTACTTAAAAGGGTCGGTTTTTAAAAAGCTGGGAATCCTCAAGGAAACCGTGGGTTTAGAGTGAAGAACTGAGGTTGTTTTTCCTCAAAAACCCACAGAGCAAGGGGTCGGGGGGAGCGGAGGCGCAACCTCTTAGTTTGGGTTTAAAAGGGAACATTTGGGTTTAAAAAGAAGCTGAAAAGCTGCAGGCTTTGGCTTAGTGGTGATTTCTGAGGGTAAAACCTGTGTCCTGTGCCCCCAAAAATTGGTTTAAACTGACCTTCAGGTGGTGTTGAAGTTTTAGTGTTATCCTACTTTCATAAAAAAAACCCTTTTTTTTTTTAATTCTATTTTTTTTTCCTAGGGAACGCCTGGAATTTGGTGAAGAGCATCTTTCCAGAGGAAAATACTTTAAAATGGCCTCTCCAGGCACAACTCCTGAGCAAAAAGCAGCTTTTGTGGGGGCATTTCCATTCAAAGAAATGAATTTTAGGCATGTCAGAAGTGAGAAAATGAAGCTGAAATCAGGGGGGATGTGGTTAAAAACAATGAACAATGGGCAAATTATTGCTGTAAAAATTATTATTGAGATAGATCTTGCCTAAAATCAGGTTATTCTGGGGGGAGGTCTTTTCCAGCACCTGAAATGGGGAGAGGGAAAATTCCATTTGAGAGACTTAATGGTGGAATAATCCAGAAAATAATTAATAACAGTAAGGAAATCTTTCCTCCTGCAGGAAACGCCCCAAAAATGTCGGAACGGCTCCTCCCACACCCCCAAACTGCCTCACTGGCTTTGTCAGCAGCTTTAATTAGCGCTAGAGCAGCTTTAATGAATGATAATTAAAAGGTTGGGGAGGGGGAGTTGTCCCCTCTCTGCCAGCACTTTTGGGGTGTCATTTCCTGCCCGGAAACGCCTAAAAAATGTGGAAAAAAAATAAAGAAAAGCCTCAAAATGCCTGAAAATAATGGGATTTTATTCCCCTGATTGAAAACAGGGACTTCCATGACTCGGCATGGCCTGAAATGCGGGTGAAATGCGGGCATTTTGGTGCATTTCTATGTTAAAAAATAAATTTAAATGGGCGTTTGGGCTGTGCTGGACCAGGGTGAAAAAAGGGATTAAAAAGGGTGGTTTGGGGTTTTTAGGGTATAAAAATCGGTGAAAACTGAGGGGGTTTAGGGTCTGTGTCCCCTCAAAAACTTTTATTTCCCCCCAAGATCCGTGACCCTTTGGAGGAGAACCGGCGCCTTCTTGGCTGCGGCCCAACCCCGTGACGCAGCAAAAGCAAAAACGAGAGTAAAATGAATGAATAAAAACCCAAACCAAAGAAAAGCTCTAAAACCACCCGAGAAGGTCGAGGTGAGGCATTTTAGGGCAGAATCGGCCAAACCGAAGGGAAAAATCTCTGTTAAATTTAACCATGTTCGTGCCGGACCGCGTGAGGCCGTGGCCGGGGGGGGGGAAGGGCGCGGTTTGTGAGGGAAAAAAATCCAAGAAAAGGGTAAAAAAGGAGAAATAATGAGAAAAGAGGCTTTTTCACACTAGGGGAGGTGGATTTTGGGGGGAGATTTTGGGGTCTCTTGCCCTTTTTTGGTGATTTTGGGGACTATTTTGTCGCCCCCGCGGGGGCGGCGCTGGGCCGCTTATAAGGGAGGGCCCCGCTCCGGCAGCGCCCGGCCGAGAACCAGCCCCGATACGGCCCCGATTCGGCCCAAAAACCGCTCGATTCTGAGCACAAAGCTCTTAGAGCTGCTCGATTTTATCCAAAAAGCTCCTAAAATGGCTTTATTTTCTATGGAGAGCTCGAAAAACGGCTTTACTGCCTGCGAAAAGCTCTTAAAGCTGCGATATTTTATAGACAGAGCTCCTAAGATTGCTTTATTTCTTAAAAGCGGTTCTTAAGTCTTTATTTAAAAATAAAGACAAAAGATGTTTCCTTTAAGGAAAACCGAGCTCTTAAAGCTGCTTGATTTCAATCAAAATCCTTAAATTGCGGCGATTCCAGTAATGGGAAGAGCCGGGGCAAGCCGGAGCACTTTTAATTGAAAAAATTAATGAAAAACCTTAAAAAAAAAAAAAAAACCTCTTAAAGCTGGTTTTTATTTAAACCGAAGCTTCTGATGGCGGTTTTTAAGAAATCGCTGCTTTCAAAGCCGATTTCTGGGAGAAAACGCAGCTCTCGCAGCTCTTTAATTCTTAAAATATAAAGTGATATAAAAGCCGGAGCGAACTGGGGCGGTTTTAAATTTAAAAAGAGCTTTTTAAGCTTCTTTATTTGAAAGAAAGAAAAAGCGCTCGATACGCTGTTTTCTGCTAAAAAAGCTCCTAAATTTAATTTTTTTAAAAGCTCTTAAAGCTTAAAAAAAAAAAAAAAAAAACAAAACTGTAGTTTTGTCCCCGAGTGGGGCCGGGCCGGGCAGCGCAGACGGGGGCGGCCGGTTTGGGGTGAAATGCGGCATTTTCAGGCTCAGGATGGATTAAGAGGAGCCAATTTTGAGGGAAGAGCAGGAAAACTGAAGAGCGAAGATGGATTCGGCAGGGAAAGGAAAGTTTTTCTTCGCAGTGACCCCATCTGGGGGGAGAAAAAAGGACTTTTTGGTAAAATGACGGCAGTTGTGCAGGGAAGGAGCAGAGAGAAGAGAGGAGAAAAAAAAAACAGGAAAAATAGAACAAACAAGAGAGGAAAAAATAGAAGAAAAACAAAAAGAAAATAGAAAAAAAATAGAAAAAAGAAAATAGAAAAAGTTTGGAAAAATAGAAATTGGAAAAAAAGAAAATTGAATAAGCATAGAAAAAAATGGAAAAAAAGGAAAATAGAAAAATAAAGAGAAGATAATTGGAAAAATAGAAGAAACTAGAAAAAAAAATTGGAGAAAATAGAAGAAATTAGAAAAAAGAAAATAGAACAAATTAGAAAAAAAGAAAATAGAACAAATAGAAAATAGAAGAATATATAAGCATAATAGAAAAAATGAAAATAGACTGAAAATAAATAGAAAAAATACAATTGGAAAAAATACAATTGAGAAAAATGAAACTAGAAAAAAAGAAAATAGAAAATTATAGAAAAAAAGAAAAACCCAAGTGCTGAAAATTTGAGAAGATGGAAGTGAAGGAAAACAGGGAAAAATAAGAAGAGAGAAAAAACTAGAAGAGAATAGAAGACAGGAAAAATGAGAGAAAATCAAAGAGGATTTAGAGGAGAAAATAGAAGCGCAGAATAATGAAAAAAAGAGAAGGATAAAGGGAGGAAAAAAGGAAGAAAAATCCCGATTTGGGCCCCGGAGCCGGGAAAATTGAGGAATTTGAGGAAAATGCCCCAAACGGAGCCGGAGGCAGCGGCCGGGTGAGGCCTCACCCCCCCCGGGGGGTTTGGGAATTTTGGGGGGGATTTGGGGGGGGTTTTGGGGTTTTGTCGTTTCAGGCGCCGCCGTCGCCGTCGCCCCTTTCCCCTTCCCCCCCCCCCCCTTTTTTTTTTCTATTAAAACTCCCCAGAAATGGGGAAAATTCCCCAAATTCCTCCAGCGCCCTCCGGCTCCGCCGCTCCCGCCGGCGCCGTTCAGTAAGTGTCCAAAATTCTTTTGTTTTTATCCCAAAGGCGTCGCGCGGGAGGGGCCGGTGATATAAAACAAAAAAAAAAGGGAGAGAAATGATGGAAGAAATGTTTTGTATTTCTTTTTTTTGTTGTTTTTTTTAATAGGGGAGGGGGTGGGGAAAGAGGGGGAGGGGGTTTCTCGAGTGTTTTTCCCCCCTCAGGGAAGCAGCAAAACGCAGGGAAAAAAAATGGCAAAAAAACAAACTGTGAGGAAAAAGCCGAGGAAAGGGAGAAAAAAAAAAAAAAAAGGAAGATTTAACCAAAAAAAAAAAGCCAGTCTGCACTCAAAACGCGCTCAGGACATTCCGGCAGGGATTTGAGGAGAAAACCCCCAGGTTTGGGGTATGCAGAGAAGTAAGAGTCGATTTAATTTCATTTTTTTTGGTGGGGAGGTCGGTTTTTGGTGGGGAGGGGGCGGTTTTGGGGGTTTTTTTTTCCGCCCTTTCCGCAGCCGCAAGTGAGAGGAGTCAGCAGCATCAAAAAGAAGCTTTTTTAGCCCCAAAGTGAAGCTGGAAGAGCAGGAATGTGGCTCCAGGAGCTTTCCTTAGGAAAAAAGAAAAAAAAGTAAAAAAAACCCCCCCCTCAAAAAAAAAAAAATCCCCGCGGAGGGAGGGGCCGGAGCAGGCGCGGGGGGAGGGGACAATAATCATGTTTTCAGGTTTTTTTTCTCCAAAACCAGCAGCAGGAATGGTTAAATTTAGACTTTTGTCCCCAAAACGAGTAAGTGTAGGAGCGAGCGAGAAGGGGGAGGGGGGGAGCC